TTCTAGAAACGTGGCGTCACATTAGTCATGTGACTTGCTGACGCAACAATATGTTTCATTAGGAGCAACTACTGTGTGTAGTTACTGAATGACAGTTTCAGATGTGACGTGTGTGATCAGCTCTTTATTTTTTACACATGTGAGGCTTGTTAATAAAGGTAAAAATCCGAGAATTCGGTGTATCTTTACCGGCATATGGTACTTCAGATAGACATATGTATATTTAGATTGAGTTTGTAATTATTGATAAATAAATAACCCGGTATCAGAACGACAGAAAACATTCGTGATTTGTAAAATGTTATCAGGGCTATTGTTAAAAGTACTAGTATGAATAAATGATAAAAGCTTGCAGGACAGACAGGACTATCTTAACTTGTAAAATTATTAAACTTTCTGTTAAAAAAAATACCCGTATCAATAAAATAAAAACTGATAAAACCATAAAATTTGTGCCTAAACGTATATTAACTTGTACTGATACTTACGTGCATAATAAATATTCTCATACAAGGTTTGTCTAAAGTCTTACAGGCTATATTAAAAAAGGAGACCTTCAGAAAGTTCAGCACATACAATGTATTTAAGTTTACATGTACATGTTATACCTTAGTATTCTGAAGTACATGCTGTAATCGTGTACGTGACTGCTAAGCTGAAGAATTTATTTCGTTTTAACTGGTATACTTCGGGGAGGAAGGGAATAAGAAAAGCCTTTTCTTCGGTGTCTACCAGGCATCAGATAAACTGACGAAACGTGCTCCTAGCAGCACAGCGGTAAGGCTGCGGACTTATTAGACCGCTAGAAACCGGGTTTCGATACCTATGGTGGGCATAGCATATATAGCCCATTGTTCAGCTTAACTACAAACTGACGAAGCGTACTGCTTAAAATATATTTCATATTTATTTTCTAATTATAAAGTAGTTGTCGAAAGAAAAATATCCGTAACGGAGTTTCTCTTGTCATGGCTTACTTGTTTCATAGTTTAATTGTTAGAATTCTGTATAATCTCTTGTCATGGCTTACTTTTTTCATAGTTCAATTGTCAGAATTCTGTATAATCAAGCTCTGCTACACTTATTCTCTGTGTTACTGACTTTAGAATCAACTTTCGTTGTGCTACACTTATTCTCTGTGTTACTGACTTTAGAATCAACTTTCGTTGTATTTTCTGGATAATGAACTTTGAGATAGATTAATAAACTACGTTTTAGATCTTTCATATTTTCACTTTTAAAAACATAATGTGGTGTAAGAAAATTTTCATGTGATATTTTTAATATCTTTTTTTTTTTTTAAATATCCACTACCAACGAAAATGTAATGAACAGTACTAAATCATAAATCTGGCATGCCTTTCCATTCTTGAGAAGACTTTTTATATCAATGGTGTGCAAATTAATTGATATTTTTTTTTTTTACAAATATAAGTATGATAATTCAACAAGCTAGGGACAACTATAAAAGTAAAAGAAAAAAAAGTGACGACATCTGAGTCATGCTTTGAGGTAAATCAAGGATTTTTTATATATGATTATATTTCCATAATTTCTCACCCAAAACGCTGTTACTTCAGGCTTTGTCTATCTTTTATATTATCAATTTCAACCTTTGGAGAGACGAGAAACTTGCCCAGTATTATTGTCCATAAATTTAAGCAAAGTTCACTCTAATCATACAAACAATAAAAGCAGGTGCCCAGCCTGGTCGGTTAGCAATAAAGTTGTTATAGTATTTTATTCATTTTTAAAACTTGTGCATTTAAACTTTTTTTATTGACCTGCAGCATTTAAGCATTTTTGGATAAGTTTGACGTGAATTGATACTATCAAAGAATGAAGACTAAAATATCTGTAGTATAGTTGATTTATTCAATCTGTTAATATCCTCGTATTTCTTGGAAAGTGCATGTGAAGTCTAGCTGTTCAGTTTAGTAACTCAGTATTAGGAAAGACTTCCTTTTCCGTCCAGGATTATACGTTATAGTAGTACAGGATGTAGTTTTAGTTGGTACGGCAAACCCTACACACGCTACAGGCGTGTCGTCCAATGGCGTGTCCTGCACGCGGCATGATAGTGCGCGTTTTACTCGTTCACGTTCGACTGTGACTCAGCAAGCAACCAACTAACAAGTTAAGTGCGTAGCAGCAGGCTAACATAGTCATTGGAAGCTTAGCTGGCGTCGTGGTTCGTTCGGTCTTCACGACGACGTACAGTTGAAACCTCTATCTCTAGCCTACCTACAGGCAAAACTAAGTTGGTTAGTGCTGTCTGTATACGGGGTGCTTTATAAACAGCCCACGTAAAGCTTCTTTCATGGTTTCAGTGTTCAAGGTGACGGAGTTCAAGTAGATCCACTGTACTTCTTTAGCTTGTACTGAACGTCGAGCTTCGTTCCAGTCAAATCTTGGGTTCTCATGTATGTATGAGTATAACATATAATGTAGATTTTTGAAACTTTGGTGGTTTGTATTTAAATTATGTTACCTTATGTGCGTGAACGACTGGCAGTTGGAGCCAAGATAAAATTGGTCTAATATTACTGTGCTTCTTACATTACGTGTTCTATACAAGTTAGCTAAAAACTTTAGTAGTAAAATTAGGCTTCTTGTTCTTTCACAGATTAGGTGAGAGACAAGGCAATTGAAGTAGATATATTAAAATATATTTTCTATTTAACTGACATGACCATCCAGCTAAAGACTGAGGGACTCAAGTTTTGTAATAATATACGTTTTTAAAATATTTTGCAGTCAAGCTGGGATTAATACACTGAAAGGTCAAAGGTCACAACTCAGTATGCCTGTTGCTGCCTCAGCTGGTCAGAATGATTCAAATGTAACCAGGTACCACCCATTACTACCTAAACCTGGTCATCATGGGAATTTGAGCCCCACTTTATTGTCCCCAGGATCAAATCACATTTTCTCAGGGGATCCTCAAGCTTGTCTTCAGGTAGGGTTATTGTTTTGTTAGTTGGAAACTTAAAGCCATCTATCCTATAAACAACTTGTAATCACATGTTTTCAGAATAACCTGATGAGTGTTATGGAACACCTCTTTGTCAAATGAGTCAGAAAAGCCTTGAATAAAGCTAGATGTGAAATGTATAAAAAAATGCCTAATAGAACAAGATTGTTGAATTTTTTGAGAAAAGTATAGCTTGTACCTACTACAATGGTAAACATTGGTGATTGAACTCATAGCAGATATTTCTTTAACCCAATGAAGTTTGTTTAAGGCTAAACACAGTATAGAAAACCACTTCAGGAACAACTTGAGTTTAAAATGGGTTATGTATAGAGTACTAGTTGTTGTTTGGGTATCAGATAGCATAATAATATTATAGCTCTGTACCTAAGGAAACATTTTAATGTGGGTTATACATAGAGCACTAGTTGTAGTTTAGATATCAGACAGCATAATAATATTATAGCTCTGTACCTAAGGAAACATTTTAATGTGGGTTATACATAGAGCACTAGTTGTAGTTTAGATATCAGACAGCATAATAATATTATAGCTCTGTACCTATGGAAACAGAGATTATTTAACAAACTGCATAGTACTGAATGTATTATATTTATGGCATTCTATACTTTATGTTTTAGTAAAGGTTTTTCAAATTGGGTTCAAAGTGCCTGAATGTTTAGTGTCTTACTCCCTTCCAAATATTAGCCTCAATTTTTGCAAAACTTGATATTAAAAAAAAAAGACTGTAAACCAAAATTTAGTCACTTGTGACTTAAAAACATTTCAAGTCAAAACAATTATTTTGTAGTTCAAGATGTAAATTGTAAATTATCTAAAAAAAACACCTTGCCCAATATAATTTTAAACCATTGTGTTTATTTTAGTGTATGTATCTATTTCTGGAGAATTTCATCTTCTGTTGTTATTTATTCCTCATTCATCATAAAAAAAATCTTCCCATCCTCTTCATTGATTTCAAGAACTGTATTTACATCAGATGAATACTGGATTAACATTTTTGTAGTCATGGACACATACATGTTCCCCTCTAGAACACTGCCATGGAAATTTTGTACCACCATGATAAAGGGTATTTATGCCCTTTCAAATTTTCTAGTTTACCAGTTTCAGCTAAGTAATGAAATATTAAAAGATATGTATTTTTGTTGTGTATATAATATAAAACTGGCACTGGAAGAGAACAAATTAAGGATCATTTTCACTAAGTGCAGCTTTTGATAGTGATCAACTTTTCAGCAGTTGGCATGTTTATTCAGCACAGTTCTCCAAATGGACAATTCCTTTTGACAGCAAGAAGATAGCTACAGTGGCTAAGGTACAAGAAGGGGCATAGGCCATTCCACCATGTTAATAAAGAGAGAGATCTTGAGATTCTACTGCAGGGATGATATACCACATAGTTTTCAGACCAAATGAACTAGCCAATTATATCTCTGCATACTTTGCCGAACCTTTGAAATTGACCGCAATCACATAGAATTCAGTTGCTGAATCTCAGTCAAACCTTTCACTTGATAATGCAGATCACCTAGGTACATTGCTTTGTGAGATGTGTCATAAGATAACTTTCTTGAATCATTTCCTCCTTAGTTTTGATGAGTATACATAAAGATCATATTTTCATTGAGGATATCAAGATGGGTAATCTAGTACAGAAACCAGGAGCTGTCTCATCTACAACAGCTTGACTGTAATACATTCTAGCACAATTGAAGATACTTGTGATATTTAATGGATACTTTAGTTGTATGAGGTACACCAAATATTGATGGAATGGAGTTCTAGAGTAGTTATGCTTCAAAATGGTTGCTGGATTGTGTTTATTTTTAAATAGTTTTACAGCTACTTAGGTCTAATGCAGATGTGATGAGAATATTTTGAAATTCTCTTCATCACATTTGGAATGGAACTGGAAGCGTGTAGACCTGTTTATCAACCTTCCTTAGTTATTTTCATAATGGCTGCATTATTGTAAAATACTTTTCATCATCTAACATGAGGAATAATATCTTAAAATTGATTCACAACATAATTTATACTGTATCAAGATTCTTTAGTGCTGGTGAATGAATCTACTGATCTACTACTGGACACCTATATTCTCAGTGTTTTCATTAATTGCTTATGATTGAGAATTTTGTGGATTTGGGTGTGACTAAAGAAATAAATTTTAAACATAGAGATTTTTAATAATGTTGAAAACTGTGTTGCTTAGTTAAACAGCAAACAGCCAATCAAGCTTTCGTGTGGTTAGACAACATTTAGAAATGCAAATTTGATGCAGGCTTTTAGCACTTTGTGGAAAGTGACTATCAGACTATTCTGTCCTTCACAATTACATTAAACCTAGAGAAAGTATTTTATTATAAGACAAGTCCACTGTCAGAAATGTGTTAGCCCTGATGCAAATGAAAATCTGGGGAGCACTTAACTGTAGTAGATTCAATTTCACTTGTGTTTCTGTAAACAGAGTAAGTCAACATGCTGATAAGGTTATGTTATTTAAAACTTTTACTTAAAACTAAAGCATTACATGTAGAATAAGTAATCAAAATGAAATTTAATTATTCTCCATACAACTTTTTACTGTACTGATTGTCATTTAAGTGAATCTTGTAGACAACAAACATTAGGAAAATTTTTATTTTTATTTTGTTACTGAAAACTAAAGTGATGTTCAGAAGCCGTTAAAAAAACCCACATATTTTCATTTTTAATGCAGTACCAATTTTTTTTTATGGCTGTAGTATTGAGTCGGTAATAAAATCAATAAGGCATGCTTAGCAGTAGAAAATATTCCCCTATTTGTTTTAGGTTTGATAATCATTTTTTATAGTTACACTGCTGTCCTTGTTAGTCTGAGATCCTGGGTTTAATTAAACTTCTAAGAATTACTTTGGTAATTTTATTGTGTACAGTGTAAAGAAACAAAATGAAATTATTACAGTATGATTATTCGGTATTTTTATGCTTCTAATTTAATGTTTTTTTCTTTAGAAATTAACCATCATATTTTTGTCCGAGTTCAATAGTGCCTGTCATATTATTAATTCTATGCAAAATAACTAAACTTTTATGAAACAGTCCAGAAATATAAGGCAGTAATAGGTTAAGCAGTGTAATAATGTCATTATTCATTCTGTCCACTACACTGGTGAATCCCATAACTTATACTAAAATGATACAAGAACAGTTACTAATACAACCCCCTTTTTTTAAGTTGTCAATAAAATCATTTCCTATATTACAAGGAAATTCGCCAGCTAGCTTCTCCCACAAACCTAATTCATCAAGGAGCTGATAATACTCTAACAGCTTCCAGTCATCCACCCTCGCACCTGTTTGGTCGTCATACTCCAACTGGGCTTTTTCCTGTGCAACCAGTAATGGAACAGCATTCATTTCCCCCACCTCATCGTAGCTCCTCTAGTGGCTATGATCTTAGAGAAGTTCCTCAACGGAGATCACATCAAGGTTAGTTCTTTTGTTTTTTATTTTCAGCTTGTGAAGTAATAAATAATGCTTCTCATTCAGTTTTACCTACAAATTTTGAGAGAAATAAATAAATATTTCTGTTTTTTTGTGGTCTTAGAAAAAAAAAATCTTTGGAGAATTTTTGCATAATTATTTTTGATTTTTACATTGATATATCAAAACTGATTATATAATAAAAGTTTGTATAAAATTTGATGACTGTTGTTAATTTGCACATTTTATGTCACTTTACTGTCAACACAGCCATTTATCATTTAACAGGATATAGTGAAATAGTGCATGGTGCAATTTGTTATATATCTAATATTTGTGAAATGTTGGTTGTGTAACAGTATAATGCACTGAAGAATTGGTTAAAAACAAGGTAAGATTTACTAGATGGAACTGTTAGGAAAAGTCGGTGAATTTTAGGCTCGGCATAGCCGGGTGGTTAGGGTGCTCGACTTGAAATTCGAGGTCGTGGATTCAATTCCTCGTCCCACCAAACATGCTCACCCTTTCAGTTTGTGTGTGTTTGTCTTATAGCAAAGCCACATCATGCTCTCTGCTGTGTTCTTCAAGAGGAATCGAACTCCTGATTTTAGCCTTGTAAATCCAAAGACTTACTGCCGTCCCACCGGTGGACTGCCTTTTCAGTCATAGCAGCATGATAATGTGATGCTCAATCCCACTATTCCTTGGTAAAAGAGTAGCCCAAGAGCTGGCAGTGAGTGGTGTTGATTAGCTGGCTTCCCAATAGTATTTTACTGCTAAATTAAGGATAGCTAGTGCAGATCGTCCTCATGTAGCTTTGTGAGAAATTACAAATAAGCAAAACCAAAACAATCGGTGTTGGTATTACAGAAGAGATTATTAATCCATATATAAAGACCTATAAAACTGTATAAACCGACTTTCTACCCTCAAATTACAACTAGTTTATATACCACTTGTTAGGGTGGGGTCCATGTAATGCATCATATTGAGTAATTTTATGTTTTTTGTCCTGTTACAACACCCAGCATAAAAATTGGGTGAAGTCACTCATTATATAAAGACATTGGAAACCTCAACATTAATTAGTGGGATTAATTGCTTTGTTCATATTTTTTGCATTTTAAATGTGATTTATATGTTATTAAGGATCTTGTAACCAACAAAGTGTGAATCTACAAGCAAGTTGGTGCATAAATAGTTAAGAAAAATATAATTTAAAAAGCTTTGGGAACAGTAATTCTGAGTTAAGCAAGAGGGTTAATAATGAGTTTCTTATTTTGTTGGTCATATGCCTAATAATATTTTTTCTTTTAACATTCTTCCATTTGTATTAAATCCTTTTAGGATATATGATCCAAAATGCCTTTAGAGGATGCCTTTTGGATGTTTAAGCATGGAGGGAAACATTACTAATACTGATAAAAATAAATATAGATACAAGTACTAACTGCCAGTCTGTTTTGTACTAATGTCAAAGTTTCAGAATGGTGAATGATACTAAATTAAAAATGTATCTATTGTAATACTTGCCTTTAACCTATGTAATTAATTAAGCAGGCAGGCTTGTAGCAAAGCTGAAATAGTATGTGATGCACAAGTGCTTCAGATATTTACAATAAAATGATTTCCATTTCAGTGATTTCTTATGTATAAGAGCTTTAAAAGTTACTAGAAAATAGCTGTGAATTCCTTTTTTACTAAGCTATGTATAGGAACTTAGAAAAAGTGTTATCTTTGTGTTTTAAGTATTGGGGTAACTGGAGTTCGTAGAAAATTGCCCTCTTTTTACAGTATTAGTTATGTATAAGAACTTAGGGAATTACTAGAACCTAGTTGTCAATCCTCTTTTACTATATTATGTATAAGTGTCACTGAAAATAAGTTATTATTGCATTTTTATTGCTGTGTTATGTGTAAGAGCTTAGAATGTTAGTATAAGAATATTTGTCCTTTCATCATGCCTTAGTTAAGTATATGAATTTAAGGGAATAATATAAAGCTTATCATTTCTGTTTTTGGTGCTAGGGGGGGGTGGGCCTTTAAACCCCCAAATTTCATACTGGTTCATACTTAGCAGATTAAAAAACCTTATCAGTTTTAAAAAAATTGCTAAGAAGAGTCAGCAACCCCCCCCCCCCTAAGTTAGAGTTACTAGAAATTGCATGGGGGGGGGCTGGGAGGGTTATTTTGTACATGTGAATAGGAAATTGCAAGAAAAGTCACATACTTCACAAACTATCAACAAGAAAGATAAATGATGCATGCAAAAGAGAAACTAGTATTAGCAAGAAAACAAAGTAGCAGAGGGGTCTCTCCTCTCACATATGTTTACAGTGGTTCTCTATTTACAAATTATTAGGTAATAGGTTGAAAAATACAGTGCAAATAGTTAACCTTTGTCGTTCTCGGAATATGTTGTAGAAGCTAGATAATTCGTAGTAGTTTAATTTAACATGGTCAGTTGAAACTTACAGAAACATTATTTATGGTTGTGAGGTTGCTAATATCCAAATTTTAAAACGTGTATCTTTTATGTACACACATGCACTTACATTCATAACCTATTTTAGATGTTGACGCTGTGTTCGTGTACTAGATAATTTTAGTCAAACAGACCTATTCACGTGCTTTTTCGTGTTGCTACCTGAGCATAAGATAACGTATTTGTAGGTTTTAAATTGCAGCAGGCTTGTTTGCGCCTTTATTATGTAATTGCAGTAGCACAAACATGCAAGTAAGGTAACAACACAACGTATATCTGAACGTATTGGCGATGTTTATGTTATTTTTACATGACAAAATAAACGGTTTTATGTACCTTTATAAGGTGACAGAAAACGTTTTTATATGAATTTGTATTTTACATGGTGATGGAAATAAACATGTATTGTTATTTTACAAGGTAATAAAAATAGGCATGTTATTTATATTTTACACGGTAATAAAATCAGGCACGTTTATGTACTGTACTTGCATACAGGGGCGTAGCCTGCACTACAGAGTGGTGTTAGGGGATATTTTCTTTCCAAAAAACATGGTCATTTTCTTTTACAAAAATATTTTAAGTGATGTACACGAAAGTCAATTGTGTAATTAAAAATTCAGAAGTTAATGGACCTTTTAGACTTTTTAGAATATTGGGGTGGTCGTTTGCCCCCCCCCCCCCCCCCTCGCTATGCCTCTGTTTGTACATGGTTGTAGAAAACAGGCATATTTAAGAATTTGTATTTTACACAGTGATCGAAAGGATGTCTGTGTGTTTATATTTTACATGGTGATAGAATCAGCCATGATTAAGTACTTTTACACGGTTTTGGCAACATACAGTCATAGTAGTAGAATCAGTAAAGTGTCCAGTTTCTTGCATGTGGTAGCACTAACGGACTTATTGGCGTGCCTGTCCATGATAGTAACGTGTGCAAATTTATTTATTTTTCCATGTTACCAGCAGCTGGTCACGTACTTGTAAGTGGTAAGTCGCACTTCGTACGAATACAGCTGCTTAATTCGTGTACTAAGTTTTTTTTTTTTTTTTTTTTGTGGGTGGACTTTCACTTCAAGTCGGTTCTCTTATCTACATTCTTATACTTGCTAGTTAACCACCGTTTATCAACTTACTAAGCACTGGCCCAACCTTCTATCGAATCCTCTTTGGGGCCTCAACAATTGTTAAGGTACCCCACGTGATTTTGCTCCACGAGCCCCATGAGGTCTAGCTGCGCCGCTGTTAACAAGGCTAACTGGTATATACCTCACATAACCTGAAATAGACTGATTAATGTACAGGCATACGTAGGTAGATAAACGTTTCCCAACAAATGTTTCAAACTTACTGTGTAGTTTGTATACACGTATATGCATTAATATTTAGTAGTAAGCCTACTTTGGAAGATTCTTACATTGATTTCCTTGACATCTTGTAACGTAATATACAATTCTACTGAGTAATAGAAATTTGTTATATAAACATATGGTATTTTTAGGGTTATGTATAGATGTATCTGTAACAGTGTTGTTACAGAGTTTGTTTAATTAATATCTAGGTTATTAATTGAATTATTTACTTCTATATATGAATGGTGTACTGACTCCAGAGTGCATCTGGAATGTTGAATCTCAAAATAACTCAATATTCATCATTTATAGATGCAGTTTTTATATTTATACCAAACGTTTTTGTTTTTGTTTTACATTTATGCGCTGAAGATGTATATAGAACATGTGAGTATACACGCCATTATCAACTCTGGCCTGCTCCACAAACAAAAGGTTTTTACTTCGTATGTATGGTGTGTGTGTGTGCCTATCGCACCACGTAGAACAGAGCTTGGTTCTCAAACCCAGGAGGTAACGGATGACTGCTGTGAGTTAGATTATGGCTCTAACGTCCGGGAGGGTTGGGAAAAAAGGCGGGTTCTTTCTAAGATTCAACAGAACTGAGGGTAGTGTCGTGGACTGCTGCCGATGTGTGTAACACAGATGGTAGGCCATGAATAGTTGATTTTCTGTCCACGGAATCCTGCCGGCAGGTCTCCCCTGCTTCCTCTATGTAGGCAGCGAATGACGGTTTATCAGGCTAGGAATTAGGTGGCCCAATTGAGCTGCTGGCTCTAACAACAGGATGTGGGACACACTACACTGCTGGCTGTTCAGTAAAATCTAGCTAAGCACACGTCGCCCGCATCGTTCTCCACCATGAAGCACTGTCTTGATGATGGTGGCGAGGCTCTGGTAATCAACCGGCACGCACAGGAAACTTTTTAAAAGTATCACTCCAAGCTAGAGCCAGGTTTTTTTTTTACAACATTATACGTTTGTACGTATCTCCATGTATAATATTTTTTGTAGAATACAAGGAATTATGACTTAACAGGTCGTTGTCCCCTTCAGTCGCCTTCGGGCGGAATGAGGAGAGTAAATAGTTGTACGGTAATAGCTTCGTTCGTATCACACAAAATCGTGTTTGACTTTGAGTCAGTACCTTACAAAGTAGGTAATTTCAC